AATGCTGTTGAAGTGTACGATTGAGGTATAGAGACAACTTTAGAAATTCGAATTTATGTGTACAATAAGTACTAAATACACTAAATCTGGAACAATTTGGATTTGGGTAACGGAAAGAGCTGAAAATCTAAAATTTGGAATGTGACCCACATAGTAAAAATAAAGTACCAAAGGGTTTGTGGTTCTAGGTGGTAATAAATTTAGTGAAATTAGAAGTACGATTGATATATGGAGGTACAAGGGTGCATTTCACCAGGTCAGTGCCACGACATTGTCGAAATAATGTGTAATTCACAAATACACACACGACTGAGCTACATATTTGGGATCAACAATTTGACCGGTATCTGTTTTCATATAAAATATTGCCTTTTGAGAAAAATATTTAATTGAACTGAAATCACAATAATTTGCTATCGCAACATTGTGTCATTTACTTTACTGTGGGCTTCGAAACTATTTCAAATATTTGAGATTTCCGTTTCTTATTTTAATAGCTGCCATTTTCTCCTGAATGATCGTTTGCAAACCAGTTTATCGTTACAATCGAAGGGAATTGATATTCAGAGATCCATGTATGCAGTTTGGATACAAATGCATTGCTCCATTGTTTCCACATTTGAGTGCTGAATACATTGTGGCAAAAAAAGCAAAATACAAAAAACACGTGCACATTTCAGGTGTTTTATGATCGCCATTTGGACCATTACTTTGCCGTTAGAAGGCAACGAAGGTGTCTTTGAAGGGAGCAAGCTATATGAAATAGCTCTGTAGCTTGTTGTTTTACGACTTTTGTTATTTATTTTTGTTATGTCTGTCTGTATTTTGGCTATGACAAACTGCTGGCCAATTTTAATTATTTTATTTTTTTTGTTGTGGACCTTGTCTAAAATGAAGTTAATTAAGTTGACGATGGCCATAGGAAAACAAAACGAACGACAAAGTCTTACCCATTAAACATTAAAGCAAAGCGTTATAAATTACTTAACATTCTACACTCGGACAGTGGGTAAGTAAATTAATGCAATTTCTTGGCCCCATTGCGTCGAAGGTCAAATCTGCCTCCAAAAAAGAGAGAAAAAAATAAAACACATAACAAAAAATTAGATGCGGTAATAGAGGAGTCATTGTGGTTTAGATTTTTTTGCCGTTATTTTAAATTAGCGAAATTATTGTGAATGTGTGGAATAGTAAACGGAACCAAAACATTAGAGAAGAAAAACATCTATACTATGTAGTGCACTGATTTTTTATGGTTTTGTATATATAGAAGAAAATGTTTCCCTTGGGGATATGCAACAGGATTTAATTTGATTTTCCCTTGAAATTATATTAAGGGAGTTGCTGTTGTCTGAAACAAATTAAATTTTCCATCGAGATATTTGTTGCAATCAGAATAATTTATATAAATCCCTGATTAGAATAAAATTCTATATCGATTTAGTAATGTCCATCTTTATAAGAATAATATAATATAAGAATAATTTTTAAAATTTTAATAACCTTTGAACTTCGTCTAGTTTCGATTAAAAAGTTACAACGTGAAAAGTTTGAATCGAAACGAATACTCCAATAGATTAATGTGAGATTTTATTTTTAATGTTATAGAAGTAGAAATGGTCCTAAAGGCTCCAGATTCGGTCTTGACATAGACTTCTTAAAAATATGTTGGGCCAATTCAGATGCCCTAAGCATGACATTATATATTTTATTTCTCTCAAAAAATTGATTTGATGAACAAAAAGTTTCTTCGAAGTTGGCTTAAAAATTAGGCATTACCTCCAATTACTAACATTTCCAAACATTTTTATTATTTATGTATGGAATTAATTGTTAACATAAATATTGACAGACGTTGGTATTATGTTATATAAATTCCCGCTATTGTCATCGTGAATGACAGGTGATGATGATGACAGAGAGTAATGATGAATGACGTTGACAAATTATTGAAGGGAATAACTGAAATTTGAAATACATATGCACATACATACATATGACTTCACACGGAGATTTAAAACAAGTTGTTGAGCAAAAAAGTATTATTTGTAAGTATGTATGTCTTCAAGAGATTCACATTGTGTTCCGCACTATTCATGGGAGACAAATAGACAAAACACAAATAAAGGTGGTCAATAAACTCGTTATTTTCGTTTTGGATTTTATCTTTTATAAATTTTTATTGAATAATGAATTATGACAATTGATGTGGCGGACATTCATGAGCTTTGTTTTACTAACAACAAACAAATCGGTTAAAGTTCGAGTGTCTGTCATGGTTGTCGTCCCCCAAAGCGGCAATGCATTATGTCAAGCTGTAGCTTATATGCTGATGACTGCAATGTATAAACGTATGTTGTATACAATGTAGTTTATAAATGACAGCACAACAACGACTTGACCCTTAAAAATTGTTTGTTACTTCGTTTAAGAAGGATGCATCCCATAATTATTTGTGTATGTATATCATAAATAATAGTTTTCATATTAATTTCGAATGTCACATAGTTATCGAAAGTAGTAGAGTGGAGTAAAAAACGTCAGAACGAACTTTTTACAATCTCCATTCATTCGAAATGCCTACGGTCCTTTGTCAAATTGCCTACCAGAAATTATTGTTTTTCCTCCGTAAAAATGAGAAACCAAATTGCAGACACTTAGATTGGAAATCGGGCTAGAACCTTCCAAACATGGGATGGGACCTTTTTTTGATACCAAAACATGGATCTGTATAGGATCGAACCAAGAATCCGAAAAGCCAAATTACAGGAAATGTGCTCTGGGTCATTAAAATAAATAAAATGTGGCAAAAAATCAAAATATCTGGGGCCAGTTTCGTTAAATGTATCTATCTAAAATATTTCGATCTCTATCGTGATTTTTGAAACCGAGTGATCGGAAATATATATTTCTAAACATTAACTAATCGATATAAACATTTGCGACTCTATAAAGTACATATATTATTGATTCGGGTAAAATTCTAAGACATCTTCTGAATGAATAGATATAGAGGGTGCTAAAATTTTGCATAGGGTTGTTTTTGGTTTGCAGTCAGGTCAAGTTTAAAGATGGGCTATATCGGTAAAAATTTGCGGTTACCCTCACTGTACCTCCAAATTTGCGATATTTTAAGGATTTTTGTCAATTTTTTACACCGAATTAGCTGGGCATTCATTAAGCCCCAAATCTTCCAATCAACAACTATGAATATTGATTTTATTTCTCGATATCCCTAATTTTTGGTATTTTGACTGGCATTTGATATTCACAGTGAGTACTTGTCGGTCCACATTTAGGAATATCCCCCATATTACGATACACAACAATTTTCGGTATTTTGGGGAATTTTTAGTATGGTTTTCAACCAAAATAGCTGCAATGAGGTATTTCGGGTCCTTATTGGGAATCAAATCTTCTGCCAAAAATTATAAACATTGGTCCAATTCATATATATCGACATCCCCAAAATGTCGATATTTTGAGGATTTTGAACACACAAGGTAATTATGTGATAATAAAATTTTCCTATCGAAAAATATTCGACCACTTTTTGGTGTAGCCCCATTTTTTATTAAAATAATTCATTATTTTGTTTTTGCGTGTTGGTGTTGTCTCCATAGAAATTTTCCGTAATTCAAATAATTAGTTTAAATCAGAGATGGTCCGTTAGAAACAGTGATGTAAATGACATACATTTCCGACGTATAATGCATACGTCAGAAACGTCGGCAACCCACCCAACAGCATTAGGTTTTTAAAAAAATAGCTATTTCCATTAAACAATTTGGAAATTACTTATGCTTTGCTCAAATTCATATCAAACTTCAAAATTTTCTTCTCCAAAAAGTTTAAAATTGTGTATCAGTTCCAGTAAGGAATACTCAGATATATTTAAAAATAATATATATTCTTAAAATAACTGTATATGGTAATAATATTAAAATAAATGACGTTTACTACATTTATTACTTTTTATACAGGTATATGACGTTTTCGACTTTTACATCTTTTTGACAGTCGAAAATTTAAACATTCGTCACAAGGACCATCCCTGATTTGAATCCAACAAGGTATGCAGTTCTAAGTCCGCTTCGGTATGTCTGTATTTATCGAGATACAATGCCGCATATAGGCATATCCCTCATAAAATGATAAAATTCAATTTTCGGTATTTCAAGTGTTTAGGGTCATTCCAAATATTCCTACCCGTAGTAATCAATTTGAGCCTATCTTTAGGTATATCCTCATAAATAGCTTCACGTATTAGTAATATCGCCTATATAAAGATTGCGTTCGTTTTTTGTTGCATCGAAGGTTTAACCACTCTTTCCAAATCATGTAAAGTGGTCTACGTTTTATATAAAAATATACTGTTTTTAAAATATTATATTTACATTTCTGAAAAATGCCTATAAGTTATGTTTTCGTTTCTCAAATCTAAGTTTAGTGTTAAGTTTGGCAACTTGTTCATAAATATATATATATATATATATATATAAAATGTGCTTATTCAATATACTTTCATACTTATGATTAGCTTAAAATACTTACTTTTAATATTGATACTTTCATTTTATGCTTAATACCCCGTTTACTATTATTTTTCGTTTTAGGTCAAATACCAAAGTGCCTTCATTGCAGAAATCCAATAACCTGATTTTCCAACAAAAAAGTGCAACAATAAGTGTAAATTATTAATTCAGAGAAATGTTTATTTTTGACATGTGATCGTTATCCGATATTAAAATAAATGTAAAATAAATACAAAATTATTTGAAATTATAACAGAAAATAGAAAAGTAAATTGGAAATTTTTGAAAAATAAGTTGAAATTAAACAGATATATAAATTTTTGTTCAACACACTGACACCCATTGAAATCTGATTGGTGCAACAACGAACTAAATTGGGCAATACCACCAAAAAAACCCAAACAAACAAATAACATGGCTGTTAATAATGATCAGCCACTGGCGCGGCCACACCGCTTACAACGCCAACAAAAACAACGAAAATCACCACAAAGTTGGCCAACATTTTTGGCCATTTGCAGTGTATACCTCTGTTGCCTGATGCACATTACCTCCGCACATGTGGCGCTAACATATCCACCTGCACGAAAATACGATTTAGATTTTTTGGATAATTCACGTACCAAAGGACCATGCGGTATGCCGAAAGGTAAGCACACCAAATGTTTTGGCATTTCAATGGCCATTTGTTTAATTGTATCTGCAGGAATTTTATTGGGAATATTAAAATGAGGGTGTTAAAAGGTTACCAGTTTCCTTTATAGAAGAATGTGTTTTTTTTATCTATGTTTGAAAATATTTTTTTTGTATACCATACACCATAATGCGATACGCGGTCTTAGAGTATATGTTGTTAACATGCAAAAGGAAGCAAGATAAACCCATTGTAAAAGTGAGAAAGTAAAACACAACCTTATTATTCGATTGTAGTGTTAATTCTCAGTTTTATTCCTTTTTTAAGTATATTACATCCTATTGTAATTGATGAGAATAGTTTCAGATTTAGTTATATCTACCCTAAATATTTACGCCCGATTTTACTTAAATGATGCACAAAAGATTCAAATGAGACTATATATGGGAAATTACAAAAATCTTTTAAATTCCTTGAAGCTGAGGTTTGCAAGGTTATAACTCGCGAAATATGAACATATTGCATATAATTTAAATTCAATTCTATAAAATGAAGTGTTCTTATCAAAATCTTGAAATTTTGGTAATAAATAATAAGTTGCGTGGAAGCTGTGGAGGTGGTAATGTAAAAAAATGGGTAAAAATGTGTTGAAGCCAACGAGTTTTTTTGTGTTCGTTCCCGATTTGTGGCTAAACTACACAATGCACGCACATGTGATCAGTGACTAAGTTGCAGAATACCCCATGGACAATATGGTTCTAATGTATGATTTTTCGATATAATCACTGCATCCACCCAAAATGGATGCTGACATTTTGAAGCCGGATTTTCGGTGTTTTTTGAATTTTTCTTATAATTAGGATGCGCATCCAGATAATAGAATAAACTAATTATAGGATCGTAGAACTTGTGATTCTGCTTCGTTTAGTGTATATCTCATGAATGTGCTCACTGTAGCTTCTTTGCAATTGGGTTCCAAAGACGAAAATTTGGTGCGTAAATTTTTATAAAAAACATATTTTTTGAGTCTTAAATTAAGAAAGTCCATTCAAATTCCGTGGAACCCCGCGTGATTTTAGTTTTTTTACGTGGCGGATCTAATGAGCCCATCCATGTTGAATTCCGTCCAATAAAACGGCGGATATAGGTACCTTGAATGTGGGAAAAACTGCAAAAACTTATTTTGACAAATTCGCGTAAATAATCGCGGTTTTCTTCGAATTAATTTTACATTCATTTATGCTTGTATTGTCAAATTCGCGAATCTGTGTGGAAATAGGTCAAAAATACATCGATACGCGAATAATATGCATATTTTATCCAAAATTGATTGTGGAGGCACATCCGCGGTTCTTAACCGATCCTTTTAAAATAGGTGTCCTTTTGCGTATTTTCATAGGAGATTACTAAAATCGGATGCGCATAAAAATCGTATGCACGTTGCGTGATTTTTAGCCATTTTTAGGGTTTTTGCATAGTAAAGTGCATCGAGTGGCACACTTTGACCGCTAAATTAAACATCGAAAAATTAATAATTATTGAAAGACATTGATTCGGTTTATACGAAAATCGCATGCGCATCAACTGATTTCAACTAATTCGCGAATTGCAAGCTTTTCAATATTGATAATTTTTATGTATTGTAAGTGCAATATATTTAGCCATTAATGACGTCGAAACTCTTATCAGATGAATCTGCCGATATTTAACAATCATCTAAAAGAATTTGCAAAAGAAAGCGTCGTATATTTTAGAAGATTAAGGCAAAACCGTCTCCTCTTAAACATACTAAAAAATCGAAAATTCCAAAAAACATTTGTTTTAATTCAAAAATTAATTTATTTTATTTTCCGATATCTTCATGTTTCTATTTGTTTTTCGCGACTATTAAACCGTATTTCAGTGTGATTTGACTAGTATGCAAAGATAACAATGGTGTTTAAGCATTTGTGAAGAAATTCGCGAATTACAACGAATAGGAATTCATTTAATTTATATTTGAAATACAAGATTTAAAACCGCTATAACTTTTGTGCGCAGCATCCGAATTTGTGAACGCGAACATATTTCGAATCAGCATATTTTTCTTAACCTATGTACCAAAAATCAGGAATGTGCTCGCAAAAAAATTTTTCAAATTTTTTTTAATGGAATTTTAAAAGAATTTTGTAATTTCCCATATATATATAAGAAATTACAAAATTCTTTTAAAATTCCATTAAAAAAATTTGGAAATTTTTTTTTGCGAGCACATTCATGATTTTTGGTACATAGGTTAAGAAAAATATGCTGATGCGAAATCTGTTCGCGTTCACTAATTCGGATGCTGCGCACAAAAGTTATAGCGATTTTAAATCTTGTATTTCAAATATAAATGAAATGAATTCCTATTTGTTGTAATTCGCGAATTTCTTCACAAATCGATAAACACATTTGTTTTTTTTTTTGCATACTTGTCAAATCACATTGAAATACGGTATAATGGTCGCGAAAAACAAATAGAAGCATGAAGATATCGGAAAATAAAATAAATTATTGTTTATTTTGAATTTTCGATTTTTTAGTATGGTTAAGAGGATACGGTTTTTCCTTAATCTTCTAAAATATACGACGCTTTCTTCTGCAAATTCTTTTAGATGATTGTTAAAAATCGGTATATTCTATTGTTAAGAGTTTTGACTTTAAAAACGACCAAATATATTGCAGTTACAGTATATGAAAATGATCAACATTAAAAAGGATGCAATTCGCGTATTCGTTGAAACCAGTTGATGCGCATGCGTTTTTCGGATAAACCGAATCAATCTCTTTCAATAATTATGAATTTTTCGTTTAGCGGCCGAAGTGTGCCGCTCGATGCACTTTACTATGCAAAAACTCTAAAAATGGCTAAAAAACACGCAACGTGCATACGATTATTATGCGCATCCGATTTCAGTAATCTCCTATAAAAATACACAAAAGGACACCTATTTTTAAAGGATCGGTTAAAACCGCGGATGTGCCTCCTCAATCGATTATGGATAAAATACACATATTATTCGCGTATCGATATATTTTTGACCTATTTTCACACAGATTCGCGAATATGATAACACAAGAATGAATGTATGTGAAATCAATTCGAAGAAAAACGCGATTATATACGCGAATTTGTCAAAATAAGTTTTTGCAGTTTTTCCCACATTCAAGGTACCAAATTTCGTCTTTGGAACCCAATTGCAAAGAAGCTACGGTGAGTACATTTATGAGATATACACTAAACGAAGCAAAATCACGAGTTCTACAATCCTATGATCAGTTTAGTCCATTATCTGGATGCGCATCCTAATTATAAGAAAAATTCAAAAAACACCGAAAATCCGGCTTCAAAATGTCAGCATCCATTTTGGGTGGATCCATTGATTATATCGAAAAATCATACATTAGAACCATATTGTCCATGGGGTATTCTGCAATTTAGTCACTGATCACATGTGCGTGCGTTGTGTATTTTATCCACAAATCAGGAATGAACACAAACAAACTCATTGGCTTCAACACATTTTCACCCATTTTTTTTACATTACCACTATCACAGCTTCCACCAAACTTATTATTTATTACCAATATTTTAAGATTTTGACAAGAACATTTCATTTTATAGAAATGAATTTAAATTATATGCAATATGTTCATATTTAGCGAGTTATAACCTTGCAAACCTCAGCTTCAAGGAATTTGAAAGATTTTTGTAATTTCCCATATATACATATGGCAATATTGTCAATTTTTTAACATAGCTGAAGCGGAGGTTCACCCCTTTATAACTCGGGAATTACTTAAGTATATGAACACAAGTGGTTGAGGCGAACCAGTTTTTTTATGTTCTCTATCGATTTGTGATTAAGCCACTCATTTCACGGTCTTCGTGTCAAAGTAAAACTAGAAGCCAACAAAATGGGGACTAATCTCCTTATGTATCATTTTTCAAAATTTTAACTGCATTTACCTTTAAACGATGCTGACATTTTGAGTGTTTTTTTAATTTTACATCTAGCTTTAATACGCAAACAGGAATTTCTAAAAATCGATTATAAGCTTATTGTAGTCTCGAATATGCGTAATTTGGTATGTATTTTGTGTATGTAGTATGCACAGCTTCAGAGTAATACTCATCCGAAGGTGCGAATTTTGTGCGATCAAATTTCTAAAAAACCTATTTTTCGGGCCAAATTTTTAGATCTGTTAACTGAATGATATGGGTACCCGCGATCTATAAGGTTTTTTACGTTTCGGATGATATAAAATCTTCTTCGTAAAAATCCATCTACTAGAACGGCGGGAACTGGCCTTCCAAAAACACGAAATTTGGCAAAAAATGTTTTTGAAAATATCGCGGATTTATTTGCGTTTTCTGTGGATCATTTCCTCTTCAATAAATGGCCTCATACGGATTTTGATCTTTTTCGAAAAGAGAACTTTAAAAACTTCAGCCGAAAGAGAGATGTACCCAATTTATCTCAAAAATAGTGCGAGCTGGCACATCCATGGTTCTTAATGGTCCATGAAATCGGTATAGATCGATGTATTTTTTTAGGGTGCACACCGAAATCGGATGCGCGTTAATGGCATATGGACTTTTCGGAAATTATTCGCGTTTTACGAGTTGTTGGGTACTTCAGTGCAACGTACGGCACATCTTAGCCGTCAAATGAAATTTCGCAAAATATATATGGATTGGAAGATAAACTTCAGTACTTCCTGGGAAGCGCATGCGCATCAAATGATTTTGAGAATTCGCGATTTACACGCAATTTCAAATGTATATTTATTAATATTAATTTTTTTTAAGATTTATTCCTATTTATAGAATTCTAAGATTTATCGGAAGGGTCTTGATATAATCCCCAAGGCGTATACTTATACACAAAAAGTGATTATTATTATATATGTCAATTTCGGCGAAATTTGGGTAAAATAGCAGAATAACCCCAACATTTTTTTCTGAAATTTCTTGTATCAATTAAAAAAAA